CAGATTTGACTTTTGGTTTAATGAATAGTGGCATGTTTGTAAACAATTTTAAAGTGTGGTATTTTTGTAAAGTGACATATGAGATGTGGCATTTTTTAAAATTTCTCTAATCGTTTTCTATCTATTCCATCATTTTTAACGGTTTTTAATTGTTAACATTTTTACGTATTTTTGGTTATATGTTACCATTTAGACTAAACAAATTTATTAACCAAAATTCATTTAAATATGAATTATTTTGAATTTGCATTATAACAACTAGCTCTTATTGCTTAATATGTAATCTCAAGTATACCATGCGTTTAAAAAAAATTACAATCTCAATCTCAAAGTATAACCTACAAATCGTACATGTGTCTAAATTGTTGACAAGGATAATAAGAAGATTAGATTATGAAAAGAATGACTTGCAAGTTACGATTAATGATAACTTATAACCTCTTTTTTATCATAAATCGGCCAATTGTGTTTTCTAGTATGTGTATTTATAATTTTGTAAAGAACATCATCATTGCAAAATAATGAGTCGACAAAATGAAGATTTTTGATTGTTCGAAATGGCTTTTGCCTAACAATCACATATATGACTTGCAAGTTAAAATTATTCCTAATGATTTTAGCGGTGGGAGTAGGTTAAAAAGAGTGCATTTCTGTCTTTATCCCTACTCTAAGACGAATATGATCGTGTTTAATTTGTTTTTAATTCAAGTTTTATTCTCTGTTATCAGAAAAAATAACTTTTAGCTCTCATGTTTTCCACTAGTCTTAAATTAATTTCATGAGAGAAATAGTTATCTTACAAAAATAGTGTTTTTCCCTCCTAAAATATTTGATCTATAAAATACGGGTTTTTTTTTCTTCTTGAAAAAGGTGACCTATATATTTAAGCTAACATAAATAAGTAAAATAATAAAACTACCATTTTCTTATAATAATTATGGATTTAAATGACATGCATGTAACGAATTAACGGAATATATATGAGTATAATGAAGATAAATAAAAAGTTTATTTGGTAAATAATTAATTGTGAGTTAAATCGACAACAATCAAGATGATATTTTTAAAAATCAAATGATGTGTTTTATCATGTATATTATAAGAAAATGATTTTATGTAAAATAGTTTGTCATCATATAAATAAATAATATGATTTTACTATAAAACATACAACCCTCTACTATTTATAAAAGCATTCTATAAATAAATTGCCATATTTGCAAAAATGTCAT